GATACTTTCAGTAGGTCTCCTGAGGAAACCACTGGATGTGGCATACATCAAGTGCAAACTTTCTTCGAAGATTACTTTGCTCCTTCATTTTCAGGGCACACTGGTGTTGAAAGGTTTATGCATCATCTTGCATAAGTCAATCTCCGCAAAGCTTTCGCGCCACAAGAATCTAAGCCCAAACAGTCTTAGACCAGGAGCACGTCAAGAGGGCCAGCTGATGGATGTGCACTTGGCTATCATTTCCTGTTAAGGTTCTTCTGTTTCAATAGCTTGCAACTCAGGGGTCGGAAGGTATTCGACATTGGTGCGGTATCCGCCGGCGGCTGACTCTGCGCTCGTATCGACAACACCACAACCCACTACCACCACCACGAACTCACCCTCGACATCGCTACTTTGACGCCGAGGCTCTCACTCTACCGACTGACGATCTTGGCTCGAACTCGTTTCGCTCCGTCTGCTGTCGCGTCGTCCGCTGGATGTGAAGTGGGTCAAAGCACACCACACAGTTACTAGCAGGTGGTACGACAATGGTGACATGAGTATAGCCAAGCAACCAAATGAAGCAAAGGCAAGTGCATTGTTTTTCTGCTGGTGGACGAGACGGATTCGTGAAAAAAATGCATCACGTCCTCAGCAGACTACCACGACGGAATGAATGGCAAGCACTCTCAAGAGTGGTGGAAAGACTCTATGCTTCCGAATTTGAAGGAAGGTTCGGTAATCGTTATGGATAATGCTCCTTGCCACACCGTGAAAACGGATGCATCTCGCTGCCCGGCGTCCTCAACGCGGAAGGCACAACGCATTCCTGTAATCGGGCACACTTGCCTGTTTGAATCGCGAATTAAAGGGTATGTTAAGGCAAAAATAAAAGGGTTGAACAAGCGGTCACGTGCTCCTGCGTACGCCAGTCACCTGGTCACCGTGCCTGCAGGGTACAACTTACTAGCCTGTTTGACCTTTTTTTGGGTGCAGTCCTGTCACTCGAGTTGAACCTTGGTGTGAAAGTTGTTGCCTGCTGGCGTGGTGACCAGGTGATTTGGGCACCCAGGAGCATGTGACCGCTTGTTCAACCATGTTCGATTGGGAATAAAGGAGGAACGCTTCATCGCAGCCTTTTCGGACCAAAACCAGTCGACTCAGCGTCCAAAAGACTACAACATATGGGCCAATCGTGGTCACCCGTGCTTTTATAAGAACGAAATGGCGCTTTTAGTGACATTTTTCATACAAATCCCCATCTAGTAGGGCGCAGTCACCCAGTTTCGGTGGCAGTGCGCGAGTTCGATTGGGATTCAAGTAGGAAGGGAGCGTCTTAGCTTCCTCGGACCACGACCATTCAACTCAGCACCCCGAAGACTACAACTGGTGAAATTTTAATTTTTGCCTTAACTTCCCCTTTAAAATAAACAACAACACCTATGACCTATTCAATTTTATTTTACGTTGTGTTTTTTTTGTAAAACCGCTCATGTTTTGCTTCTTTTTTAGTCCGCTTCTGGGAGCTGTGTGAATTGCCGTTGATATTGAGCTAAAACCTGGCCGAAAACCTAACTTTCCCAAATATTATTATTCCGACTTCCAAACTAAATTTTCAGCAATTCAAGACCCACACAAACGCAGCGGTGAAGAGAAAACAAACACCTGGAGCATAGGCAATGGCACAGCGACAACTCGACTCTGGTTGTGCCATTTTTCCAGGTGTGTTTTAACCCTTTCAGGGTCACAGTGCATTTACTGCATCTTGGCACTGTGATTCAGTGCATCAGTACAATTGTGGAGATAGCAACAAACAAATTGTCACAACATTATTGTTTCTAAATGGATTTTCACACTTTATGGCTTACTGGAAAGCTCCTTTCCTGCTCGTCCTCTTCCACGTGCTTTCAGAGCATACACCACCTCAAGGATGCCATAGCCTTGCCAACCCTGTCCCTATCGTGCTCCAGCACGTCAAGCTCCATCTGAAGATGGCCACGCTTGCCTGATCAGTACTGGAGTGACAAAATGTATGTAACAGTCAGAGCCAAGTCGTCGCTGTGTCACCGCCCATACTCCAGACGCTAACTGATGTGCCAGCCAGCTGCTGCGTGGATATCACCAGCCATGCTTTGGCTAGGTGCTATCCATGACCGGAGTATGATGGCGAGAGAAAGAGCGCTCTTTTCCAAGAGAGTATTGTGTGGGCAGGCGTGTATTTTCCACCATTTTGCTAATTTATCTTCTTTGGTGAGCTTATTTAGATCAATGTGCCAAAATGGGAACACCAGTGATGTAAAGAATACCATTCCAAATTTTCACTGATACTTATGGCTGGTCAGAATCTGTTGTGGTCGGAACCTCAAATATTATTTCAGAATGTATTCATGATTGTGTAGCTTAGTTTTTGAGGTTCGCAGGAATGGCAATTTCCTGTTTTCACGCCTCACGACTGAAACGCATTAGCATTTCTAGGCTTTCTGACATACTGGACTAGCAGGAAAGCAACACAGGTGACTGCACGATATTCTTACCATCTTCAGCCACACGATGTCATCACTACACAGACTGGCACGCAGACGATTACAACGAGCAATTCAGCTTTCTGTAAGTGGCTTGGCATCCGTATTCGTCATTGGTGTTTCGTCCACTTTCCTTCAACTACTCCTCGTGTATGCTGGTCATCTGACATCGTCGAGTCCTGTCGAGCAAATGGACAAGAACCATAAGCTTATGGCATGGAACAAACGGCGAGGAGACAACAATTTGGTAACCGCAATCAATAAGACAAGCTGAATCGACATTTGTGTATATTTTATTCATGCAATGTAGAACGGTGGAGACAATGTGCAATAAAACGATGAAAACCGTTTTACATTGCGTGAATAAAATATACGAAAATGTCGATTCAGCTTGTCTTATTGATTGCGGTTATCAAATTATGGCATGGACCATAACAAATTCCTCATACACAGTGGACGGGCAAAAAGAGTTCAAAGAAAGAGGTCAGATCTACGACTGGTTCAAATGCATGGGCGTCTCACACGGTACGACCTTCAACCATGGTCGCGCCACTTTTCATCCAGGATGGTCCGCCTAGAGCACCCGTAGAGCGCTAAAACGTGCCCTGTTGGCCGAAAAACCCGTTTTTTCCCCTGGGGGTACCCTCAAACCCCCCCCCCCCGGGTGTGCCACTCCCCATTGCCATGTGACTTCCCTGAAATGACACCAAGACTGACCCTTATGGATGCCATCGACCTCAAAACCATGGCAACCCATGCAGATAGAACATGTGTGCAATGCAGCAAACTCCTATGTATGTCCATGCTTACATTTTTTTGAGATCGGATACGCTGCAGTGCTGTTCCGTCCGGGACGATGATTTCTCGTTCAGCGTCCATTCTTCTTCTTCTTCTTCGCAGGATTTGATGCTGGGTATGCAGTTGGTGGGAGGTGAGCAGTAGCAGTGTGCGTGCATCACTCATCACCATGCCACGCTGTCCAGTTGGTGATGATAGGAGGAAACGTGGTTGGGTTACTTTGCATAGAGTCGATGGTCGGTCGGCTCATGCATTGGCCAGTGGTAGTAAAACACAAGAAATAGCACAGGAATGCGATGCAGTTACTACACGTTTTCAGCCAGGATGCGAGGGCAAGCGTGCGCGGATCGGTGTCACTGCTGGCATAACATGTGTGCATGTATGTGTGTGTGTGCATGTTTGGTGGTGGGAGTCACTGATATGGACTCACCATCATTGGCCCTGCTTTGAGAGTGTCCAAAAGCATTCTTTTCACGTGACATGCTCACATACACAGTTGTACAGAGTGATAGCCGGTGGTAATGCTGATGTGCAAACTTCACTTCTCCTACATGCTCTTGCAACAGAGAGAGACCCTGGGCTGGTCAAGCTAAGGGGAGATGTGAGAAGCCCCAGCTAAAGCACTGTGTTTTAGCAGTATAACATGCTGATCAGAGCAACACACAAAACACTCCAGGTGACCTTGGAAATGCCAGGTAAAGTTCAATGCGTCTAAGCGTACTGCACCAATCCTGAATCCTACAGTTCATTGTAGAATGGACAATGGATGCTAGCGATAAGTTGCACGCTTTTCAGTTGTGTTTGATATAGAAATCCAAAACCTCAAGGGCATTGCCGCTAGTTGAATTCAGTCTTTGGACACTAAGGAAGGTCGCCAACACTGGTGTCAAGTATACTAAGAACGTTGTATTTTGATATTGCACATAAGTCCCCATACTGTCTTTATCCGTGTTACTTGTTGATTAGAGGATTAGATTCATTAGCTTTACAGAGTTTAGGTTGAGATTAGAGGTTTAGCGAATCTTCACAGTTCACTTGAAAATGATAATACTAGAGAAGAAATCATAAAATCATAGAAGACAGCATGTGCACCTCTGTGCAAATCATACAGCGTCATTCGCCAAGTCATATTTAGGGCATTGATGCGTAAAAGGATTATAGGAAAGTGTGATTTTGCGAAAAGAACTGCAGAGTGGCAACCCATCGCTAGCAACCAGATATCTCCATTGGCATTGGGCAAAGTGCGGCATGCTTACGAGCTGATGTCATACTGATGCAAAACAGTCTACCAGTCATACTGGGATGACATGGAACACAATAATTATTATGTCCTACAACCACCCGCTCACTGCCACTACTGCCGTACTGGCTGACCAATGTCAAAACGCCGTGTTACTGTCCAATATGTCTCTAGCAAACAACAAACCCGGTACATACACACAAAAGGCACAACGGAGGTTTACAGATTTGTCGCAACTCAGCCTCCGTTGTGCCCTTTGTGTGTAGTAGTACCCGGTACATACGTACACTCTACGTGGGTTTACTCACTACCGACCATAACAACGACTGTACTATATCAATGACGGAGGCAAATGCACGCACGCACACGGCAAACCAGACGAGTGTCTACTTGCACACAGAAACCAAGAGCACGCGTACCTTTGCCTGGGAAAGACGTGGTATCCTCGTAAGACACTGCACGAATTGGAAGCGATGATAATTATGGTCCGTCCGAAACTGACGGCCTGCGAACATTTTGCGAGGTTTCCACGATGTCAACCTACATTGTACACATAGCAAGGAAAAGAGACATGAAGAAAGGAGCTGAAAAGAAACGTGCAAGCTGCAATATTTGGGAAAGACCAATGAAGACGACTCCTTGGAGTCCTCAAACGCACCTGCTACGAGCTGGGTAAATTAGCCACAGGTCGTTCACAACAGGCCACAAATCAGCCCATCACACGAATCAGTACAAAGACGAAGCACACGAAGTAGCAGCGTACTTACACGAAATCAGTCTTCGTGCCGAGCACATGGTTGCTGGCTCAGTTCGCGCATGCGCAGTCCAACTGCCAATGTCTTCCCCATCCTAGCTGGAGGAATGACAAGAAGAGCAAAAGAAGCAGATAGATTCAGGATGGTGCAGGAGCATTGACGAAGTGCCACTCTGAGAACAAGACACTGTGGACGAGAGGAGAGCAAATAATATTCATATACACATACACCGGCAATAAGCATAGAGAAAAAGGGAGGATACCCCTAAACGAACAATGGCTCCGGCCAGAACCTCTTCATCAACCAATAGTCAAAGAAGGCAAGCACTTACTATCACTTCCAAAAAATGCTTGGTGAAATACCTCACTCATCCCACTGACTGGTGACCATATTCCGCAGCACGTCAAAGTATTTGATTCCAGTCGACGTTTTCTCCCATCGTTTTCTGCGGTGGACAGCTCATCTTCCCATTCCATCTTTTCTTGCCTACCTTGCCGCTGGCTAGCGATTTACTGCTGCTAGAATTCGGTGGGCCATGACTAGAAGCTGCCGGCGGGTCAAAATATTCTACAGGGGAGGGTTGTTCAGGCTTTTTGTAAAAAAATCCCAGCATTTTTATGAAGGATTGCGCAGGACCCCAGGGCGGATCCAACAACAACTGGGACTGCAACAACATGGACACTCAGGAAGGAGAAAAATTCAACACACCCTCCAACACAACGACAACGAAGCAAATGAGCCGGCCGTGAGTGTGGCGGGAAACATTTGTTAGCCACTGCGTCGCAACTGCAGCACCTATTCCGAGAAGCTCGCTAACGCCGCTGCACTACATCATGCACTTCGTCGCGGGGTCAAAAGTTCATGTCCGGTTCGTGCAAGGAATCACGCTAGCATATGCAGAACGCGAATGATTGGCTGCCTCGCCTGATGGGCCATGCGCGCTCTACGCCGATTGGCCAGGCTGCCTGAATGCCTGGAAGACGTCTAGTCTGGGAAATCATGTGAGAGACCCGTCAAGCAGTGATTATGGTTATGTATGCAAGGTGTAGATCTACATGCAGGTCTGCCACCGTCCGGCCGACAGTGACACGCTAGACTGCCTCGGCGCAGCTACCGATCGTTCGTAGGCGCTAGGCGTAGATACAGCCAAGGCAAGCTCCTGCTGACCGCGCCCTGGGCAGGGGTCTGATGCAACTAGAGAAGGCAGGCATCATTTCGACTTAGTGTCCTTGGGAGAGGTTAGTCCTTTGCGAGTTCTGCTCTATACAGCTTACATGATAGAAGATTGAAGCTGAAGACTCCACTGCAGCTGTACTTATGGTTGATTCACATAGTGGCAACATGGCGGTAAATACACACACGTTTTACAGCTTAGCGAGCGTGTGTGTGCAGGCGTGTACATGTACTCATCGCCATATTGCCAGGTGTGCATTTTGTATTTTACCACCACATGAATCAACGATGATCGAAGATTGCTCAGAAAGCGTTTTGCAGGCGACTCTCCTGCAATCAAGTAAGCACTGCATTTTCACACACAATCCGGTCATGCTGGTCTTTGTGACCATGGTCAGGAATGAAGTGGCCATGGTAAAAACCAGTGGTATACAAAGCCAACAAAGAATGGGACCAAGTGATAACGCGCGTAAAAGGAAGGAAGGCAGCCAGACAGTGAGAGAAGAAAGAAGAGGTGTAAACGGGTTGTGATGTTCTTCCCTTTCTTTTCTCTCAGGCTGCCTTCTTTTCACCCGCGTTATCACTCGGTTCCGCACAATGTTGGCTTTGTATATCGTTGTTTTTTTTTCATGGCCACTTCATTCCTCACCATGGTTATAACGATTGAAGCTTCGAAACTAGATTGTGTGTGTGAACATGCAGTGCTTTTCTTGAGTGTAGGCGAGTTGCCCGCAAACGAGTTATGAATAATAAAGCTTAGCGTGAAGCGTTCCTCGGAATTTCGAAACGGTTCTTCCCTCAAGGACTCAGACGCCATTGTTGCTCGTGAAATGGCCTGGCCTGGAAATTGGAGCGTTGCATTTGTAAATTTTGCGTTTTGCATTTGTAGGTAAGCGTTTTGTGATGTACGAGTAATACTTTCTACCTCTCATTTCGTATCTCTCTGGCCGCCTTCCCGTTATGTGCGTTATCCCTTGGTCCTAGTCTTTGTTGGCTGTGTACACCGCTGTTTTACCATGGCCACTTCATTCCTGACGATGGTCACTAAGACCAAAGCGTTGACAGCATTACTGGATTGTGTGTGAAACTACAGTGCTTACTTGAATGTAAGCGAGTTGCTTGCAAACGATATAATTATGAATAATGAAGCTAACTGAGGGGTCGTTCAGAATTTTGAAGATTGCTGTACAAATGAGAGTCCGCCGAAGATTGTTGTACAAACATCTGCTCAAATTGTCTTCAGCCGTTTTGGTCTGAAATCTGAGGAGGACACTACCTAGCCGATAGAAACGAATTAGAAACGAAACGAATGGAAAACGAAACGAACGTCGAAAAGTCTACTGTATGCAGTTCATGTTGGGGAAAGTAACATACCGGTAGTTGGGGAAGAGTTGTTTGGACACCACACTGGTAGTCCTCATCGTCAATGCTCTGACCCTCCAGGAAATCGCGATTCTACGGATGCAACAAATTTCGCGATTTTGGCCCAAACCCGCGTTTTCAGCAAAATCCGCTATTTCCCGCGTTTTTTCTTGTTTTCTGCACTATATCTCACATTTGTATGCACTTTTCACGCAGTTCTTTCCATGATCCTGTAGGTTATTTGCACAGTACGACTCCCGAGTAGATATACGATGCAACAAATTTCGTGATTTGGCCCAAATCCGCAATTTTCTGCAAATAAATCCGCGAATTCCTGGCAAGTTCTGCATCATTCCGCACTTTTCGTCGCATTTTTTGTTACTTTCTGCCGCAATTTCTTGCGCAAGTTTTCGTGAGTTTTTTCCGCAAATTCCCGCAGGGACAGAATACTGAAATGGTTGCAGCCAAACGCATTCGTTGAGGTCTGACTAGCCGTAGGGTGTAGCCTGTAGGTCAAGTACATACCGTAATCATTGTGTACAAATAGTATAATCTACAATGTCTAGCCTCACGAGCACTCCGTCTACCACCCACGTCCTTCTACGGTTTCCAATACATGTACTTGTAAGTAGATCTACATGACTGTATTTCTTTCTAGAGTCAGCAGAGAGGCTTAGTTATATGCAATGCACAATACAAGCTGCTCAATGAAACCCTATGAAGTGAGTCAAGCTTGCGAGCAGCACCAGTTTTTACAATCCCAGTGTTCGCAGCAGTTCTAGGACTGCGCGGCGCCCGGCGTGGATGGACTTGTGCGATCGAATTTCATCGAGCAGACTACAAACCTGTCTGTGATAGTACATTCAGAACATGACAATACCGAACAACGGTCCAGAGCCGTCAAGTACTGTCTAGGAACCAGGGAGTAGTATATATACTACTCCCTGGTAGGAATGCTCGGTGGAGTAATCACCAGAAGAAGCGGTCAAGAGTGCAAAGTCCATAGTGCAAGACTACATAAGTAGTACTAGTACTGTAGCAGAGGGTCGTAGACTACCTGTAATACAGGTATTCTACCACTCCCTGGTCACCGTGGTCACTACCATGTGATGTAGATCTACTACTACTACTACTACTACTACTACTAGTACAGTGCTGGCAAATGAAATCCGACTCCCTGAGCGGCGCGCTCACATCGCAAAGAATGTGAACCCACCGCTCTGGGGGTCGGATTTCAGTTGCCAGCACTGTGCAATCATCATGTTCTTGTGTATAGTATAGACATGTATGGGATGCTGGTGAACTGCATCCAGATTGCAGCTGCCAAGTCGAGGTCCTGTGCTTTTGTTCTGCTTTTGTTCTGTAATTCCACGGCGAGCGGAGAAGAAGCCTTGCCACTAACTGACAGAGGCCGCCTGCTCAGAGTGTAGGCCAGTGGCATTGGCAACTCTTTCAGTCGGGCTTAGCTGGAGTCGCATGAAGGGAGCAGATCTCTTCAGCGGACCCAGCGGGCACTATGGGCCGAATCAGTTTGAGACGTTCTGCATTTGGATTTTTTTTGGATGTTTTCCGACTGTCGCGAAATTTGGAGGTTCCGTCGCTAGGTCGTTTTGCTATCCGAAAGGACTTATATTAGGTATTACGGAGGATTAGCAAGACGAAATTCGTGTTCGCGTTCGCAAACATTTTTCAGGTCGCGAACTGGATTGCGAACTTTCGCAGTTTTCGTTCGGAAAAGTAGTCGGAACACGAATCGCGGATTCGTGTCAGAGCAGTCATAAATTTACCACGCTGTACCTGTACATCGTGTCAACGTCATGCATGTGCGAATTCTGTTTGCTAATCCTTCTCATAACGCGAATTCCGTCACCGAGTTCGACTTTCCTTGGAGTGCGAACGCGAACGCGAATTTCGTCTTGCTAATCCTCCGTAATAGGTTCGTTTGGCTTCTCACAACCTGCGCTACAAGCTGCTGCTACTGTGCTAGCCTACAACTTGTACTGTTGTAGCTACCCAGAGCGTGGTAACTATGGACAACAAAAATGGCGTGCACATGTAAAACAAATTCGAACAAAAAGCCGAAAATAACTTTCGACTCCGCTGCTTTCTTTCCGTTCCAAACTTGTTGAAGTGTTACTTCTTTACCGAAAGTTCCACTGCATGCCTTCTCCATTGTCTCTAGAACCCAGCAGTAGAACAATAACCTGAAATTCGATATGCAGAACAACTCTATAATAGTACTAGTATTACTTCCATCGAGCAGTTGTTCCTTGGGATGCGTGCAGGCCATCAACGTTTGAGTCTGAAGCAATATCTCCCGCGCTATGCACCCTTGGTCTTGGAAACAGGGTGTGTGGAGGAGCCGCGTGCGCACGCTAATCTGTCTCGCTGTGAAAGTTTAATGGCGGCAGAGGTGAAACGCTCGCTATCCAGGTGAGCTTCTCTTAGGCTAAGATAATAGCACAGCGGTCCTACCGACTCTCTGCTCAGCCTGTCAGTGGAAAAAGGTTTTCATACCTGCCAACCTTTGCCAATCCCAGGTCGGGACAGCTAGTGAATTGTGAACTAAAGTTTGGGGGGGGGGGGGGGAGGAGGGGGGAGGAGGGAGCAAACGTGTGCCGAAAGGCAGGCAACGAAGCGATTTCGCTGTCTATTGTTTATTGATGCGTTGAGAAGTTAGCTGGACTCTTTCATGCTACCGTAAAAGTCCGTAAATAAGTACATGCCCGAAAGAAATACCCCCTTCATTCTTTTGGCTCTGTCTGTTGAAGTCAAGTCAAGCCCGATAAACATACTGCCCGAAATAAGTACCGGTACGATGCGCACGTGCAGCACTTAGCATGTACATCAACATGAAAATGACTTCTCCACTACACCCAAGTCACGTCCGAAAGTTAGTTCGTGCCCGAAAGTCAGTACCTGCCCGAAAGTTAGTACGGGTGTGGTCACTAAATTCGAAAGTAAATACGTACTTATTTACGGACTTTTACGGTGTTGAGTTGAGGATGCTGATCTTGGTAGTAGCTCGCTGCATTTCCGACGTTATACATGTTCGATACGATGGTCATTTTCGATAAAATGGTCCATTTCCAGGACAAAATCGGAACAAAGTAAGACCCTTTTGGTGCACCCCCCTAAAGAATTTGACCTAGGTTCAGCATGCACATAGTGCCCATGATGATATGCACCAGCCATCCTACACATATTGTACAGATGATACTATACTCTGGTGATGCGGCCGTGCGCCCCCCCCCTAAGAGGGGGATCAGTTACGCCTCTGACCGAAATAACCAGTGAAAACCTCAGCAATGCGTTGAACAATGAGAACAACTCTATCTTATGTGCGGGCTATAGATTTCACCCAGTTAACCCAGTGCAGAGGTCACTGACTTGTCAGTTTGAGCACTCTGGCAAGGCACGTTCGGGCCTGGTTTAAATCTGGCTTTGGAAAATTTTATTTTTCATTGCTATCAGGTTCGGCCTCATTTCCTCTGTGCTGCGCTGATGAGTCCACAAAGGACGAAACAGTTCCGTCAGGCGAAATTACTGGTCAGTCGGCGTCACGCATTTTTCACAAAAATTTGCGTTTCACCTGCTGGGAGAGTATGCGTGTACTCGAGTCTCATCCTGAGCCCGTTTTTTTCTTCTTTTTTTCAGCTCTAGTACAGCTGTATTTTTCATTGCAAAGCCGTCCTCGATTGTTGTGTTCGTTGTTCAAACGAAGTGGACATTCAATCATGAAGGCAGAGGACATAGGAGCCTGATTGGAGTTTCTCGTGGCATAGGACGGCCACACAGAGACACTTTGGGATTTTCTGAATATAAAATACCGTACGCACGATGCTGAGATCAATTTGTGCGATATCAAATTGTTTGTGATCTACCACATCGAGCAGAACGGGATCCAAACACAAGCTTACCGACGGTTAGGCTGCCGACCTGACTGGACAAATGATCCCTGGCTTCACCAGACGCCAGAAGTCGGACACCATGTCCTTTGTCGCGACGTCCATCTCCAAAAAGAACTCCATCTTCGTCGTGAAAAGGCTTGGAATACTCAATATTCAACCGAGATTCGCGGGCTCGCGCTTTCTCGGATCGATTAATTTCCTGCTGGAACAGTTGCAGGGCAGCTTCCCGCTACTGTTTCAACAGGCGATGGCTCCAAAGCATGCCGGGAACAAGCCATATCGAGGTTGCAAGCCACCCCTCTCAGCAAAAAATTCGAAGAAATTCGAAATTTCAATGGTGGAAGATATACTATGAAGAGAATTTCAAAAAGTATGTTTCGCGGAGCGATCGCTCAACCTACGTCATTCAAACTTTGTAGGATGGTTCAGACGTACATGCTAGGCATGGAACCACAGGCGATGATGCCATAGCTGACACACAGAGTAACACACACAGCAGAATCGTGTGCACAGATACTAAATTAGTGGACGTCGTCATCTTCTTCCCGCTGATCTCGAATGTACTATGACGTGCTATTTCGCCTGACGTTTCTGCAGATTGAGGATTTAACCCAGTTATATTGCTGGTGCATTTGCTAGCGGTTGCCGTAAATGTATTTAGGACGTCATCACAGCACGTTCACTGGCTCCCATTCCCGTCTACCGTGAGCGTTCAAGAACCCGAAATTGCCCTCACGACTCTGCAGTCAGCGCGAGAGTCAATAGTTCGGTGCCACTGCTTGGCACGGATCTAGTACCCACCTCCCACCGCTTTAGGAGCTGCATCTGTGCCTTAGATCTTTACAGGGTGGTGGAGTTCCTACGGCTGCTGATAGCTCAGTCTAACCGAGTCTAAAGCGAACTGTTAAATTGTTCGCTCTGATTGCCCTGTTGCGTCAACTTCTGTACTTTGCCAGTCGATAACACATCATGGCCCACTTGTCTAAAGTGAGGTTCTTGTTAATCGGAAAGAATATGGCCGTGCTTCGTTTCTCACGCAGGTCGACGTTGAACAATGCAGCAACTGCTGCAGGTTGCGTTGTACAGAGTCTACATGATCTTACAGCTTGCTATAGCCTTCCTGATAGGCTATTCCAGCACCTACTGTCAATGTTATGTTGAATATGAACTAGAAAAAAACTCTTCCTCTCCTCTCCTCCATGCGCTCTCACAGCCGACTCACTGCTACCCTCAGTAGCCATTACACGCACCAACCAAGGAAGAGTTTCAGGTAGATACTGAAATTCCTCCTGACAGCTGTTTCGCCTTCATAAGGCTCATCAGAGAAGGTGATATTGAATAGGATGATATCAGGTGGAGATGGTCAGATTTATACTACAAAACATGGGCGCAAGATTACGGGCAAGGTGTGAGAATGAGAAGTTACAATTCTCCAGCAACACAGGGCCAGGGGTTCCAAGAAAATGGCAGGTGAGTAATCCAATCACAAGCTGCTAACCTCTCCAGCAACACAGTGCCAGGGGTTCAAGAAAATGGCAGGTGAGAAATCCAATCACAAGCTGCTAACATTAATTTTCTAACGGCTAGGTGATAGTTTTTAAAAGAATTTAAAAGAATTTTGGCGAGCCACCAAACAAAGTGAAAGAAAGTACTAAGTACTAAGTACTAAGCGTGCAGTGCAGCAAAAGTTACAAAGAGTGCACACACGCATGAATGGACTGTAGTTACATGTAGATCTACTTTTCACTTGGGCAGTTCTCCAGCCAACCGCGCAGGCATGCAGAGACGCACCACGTCGACTGTCCCCGCAGAGCCCCCCTCCGGCGTTCTCCCGAGCAACAGATCTCCGCTGGCCGTCACACCTTGCTGCGCACCATACGTGGCCGGACCGACCGCTACCTCGCGCTGTCCCCATTTGCGCCTCCGTTGCTCGCTGCCGTTGAGCGTCGAGACAACCCGGCCGACCGTGGCGAAAGCAGAAATGAGAGTCCTAGGAGGAATTCGCTCGTCTGCCCCCACAGCTGAGTTGTCGACGAAGACCATGCTTCCACGATAATGACACCGCTCCCTTCCTTCCATTATCGAAACACTCACTGAAGTACCGCTCCACTGGCGCACTGGCTGTGAGAGCGCATGGAGGAGAGGAGAGGAAGAGTTCTTTACATTTTATTGGCCGAATAGTACCGTTCACCATTTGGAATATGAACTAGGACTTACGAGTGCATGAGTAAGAGAGGGAGCGTGAGTTACAATGCTGACTCCTTACCTGGTTTTGGGGACTTGAAAAGGGCTGTCACAGTTTGGCAACAAAACTCTGTATATCTTGGCCCAGCTAAAATGTGAGTGCTCGGATTGATATGATTTTTGGTTTGCTGGTAAGCCACTGGCCATAGCCAGCAATCGCATGTCATCACGCACATTGAAAATCAACATATTTTGCGAATTTGCGAATCGACCTTTTTTCACCATCACTTTTCAATGAGGACGAAGCAAAGTTGGCCGAACGAAGCCTAGAGGAAGAGAATCATCCTCTCCACTTCACCATCACGGTACTGACATAGGTATGAGACGAAACAAGCAAACAAATCCAGAAGAAAACTGTACGCCCACCGCCGCGCTGACTTTGGTCTGAGAATTTGGCAGCAGCAACTAACTTTGAACTTTGAAGCGCTTTTGCTGTTGCCTAGCAACATATTTCTAGCCTTCCTGGCCCCCAAATGCATGTTGGGTGGCCCTGCACATGACTGCACATTGTCTTAGCAACCTTGGAAAACTCAAACCGGTTACCAACAAGCTAGAGGTGAATCGGACCAAGCCCCCGAATGCTCCCGCCGGCCACCGGCGCTTCTTTGCAATTGAATCTGTTGTCAAGAATAATGAGCGAAGACAGATAGACATCATACAAATAGCTTGGAGTACCATCATGCTAGGTGGCATTCATTGTGGGACATAGGATAGTGTAGACCGAATTTCAGGAGGCGTGGGTGTGAGGAAGAACATGCAGAACAGTTGGATGCATGCAGCAGCATAGCCAACAAGAGAACGGGGTCGTGGATGGATTTGTTCTTGCTTTTGATGGATGTAGCCATCCATGTGACCCATACAGTATTCATGTGAGTACGGCGTTTTCTTGTGCTGCCAGGTTTGTGCCCGGCGTGCGAGTGAAACCTGATCCTTGAAAAGGCTTCGATGTACGGGATGTACAGGCCGTACGGGCTTCCTTCTGCCCAGTAAGGGTTCTGAAATTTATTTCATTCTATTTTACTTTGCAAGCGCTGCACAGAACTTCCCTGTACGTATTTCGCCAGGCTTTGTTGAAGTTCGTACCGTGAACTGCCAAAACAAAATGTTTGAATGGTGCTGGGGCGAGTGTAACATTAGGGTGTCCCTGCAGCCGGCCTGATCGCATTTGTTGTCACGACCGATTTTGTCTATACCAATGTCCCTCTTTTCTTCTGTGCCTTTCTTTTGCCTAGCTATTCAAGGAAATCCGGCTGGTCATCGTCTGTCTCTTGGAGCTGTGAATGGTAAGAAAGGTGAAAAAATGGTCAATTTTTGACGATTTGTGCACAGCTGTCATTGACAATGTACAGTATAACCTAGTGTAAGCGACCACCTGCTTTCAACGACCACCTGCATTCAACGACCATTTTTCCATGCACGAACAGTTCTACACAGAAACTGCACTGGATACAGCGACCACCTGCCTTGCGCGACCAGCGACCGACTTTTAGTGTACCAAGTACCATGTTAGACCTGCGCACAGCGACCAAACTAACCAAGAATGCCATCTTGGCTGCCAGGGTTGACTGCAACAATTGGGTTACATTGTTGAAGTGTGCTCTGAAGCAAGTGCATGCAGTCAACAGAAGTGACAAGTGACAGACAGTGCAGGATGCGCTGCATGCACTTGAGTGAGGTGTGCTTTGCCTGCACGAATGTATTCTATTCTCCACACCTGTCAATATGAGTACATGGAAGTACAGTCGTGCACATGCATGTACATGATCTGAGAAGCCACGTATGTGTAGGACCTGGTTCTAAAGACCACCTGGCTTTAACGACCGCTTTTGTGTGCACCGTGGGGTGGTCGCTTAAACCAGGTTTAACTGTACCTGTGTTTAACGGAGCCCAGTTGCAATATAAATGCTCGGATTTACTGTAAGTTTTGGCTTGCTGGCATGTTGTAGGCACCTGCAAGTAGTGACCCAGCAAATGTGTCCCTGCTGTAATTGTTCTTATTACAATGCCCGAAACCACGGGAAAAAAGTTCCAAACTTGGAGATAGGTTCTGGCTCTGGCAAGTAGCGATGTTGTGGCCTGCTGGAACTTGGTTGGCCGTAAGATATTTTTTTGGTTTCTGTAGGCCTGGGTGTTGTTCGTAGCAGTGTGTCTCTTTTCTTTTGTGTACTTCCCTTTGCCTAGCTATTCAAGGAAATCAGGACGGTCGCAGTCAGCCTTGGAGCTGCGAATGGCCAGAAAGGTACGTAACTGTCCATTTTCGGCAACTTATGCCCAGCTGTCTGTTGAATGTGCCTCTGCCTGGTATACCTGGACCCAACTGTAATGTGAGCACTGTGGTTGATATGATCCTTAGCTTGCTGGTAGGACACTGCACCAGAAAGTAGTGCCCTAGAAAATTTCACCCTGCTGTAATTGATTTGATTACAAAGTCCGAAATCACGGATAAGCTCCAAACTTTCAAATAGGTTATTTCAGCTTACCCCTAGCCCTGAGCGAGTTGTTTATAGCAATGTGGGTCCTTTGTTTTGTGCACTACATTTTCCCCGCAATACAAGGAAACTGGATGGTCAAGAACTGTCTTGGAGCTGTGAATGGCCAGAAAGGTGAGACATTGTCACATGTTGACGACTTGTGCCCCGCTGTTATTGACAATGTATCTCTGTATAACTCGGTGCAGCTGCAATGTGAGTGCTGGTAGACTGCTAGCATCCGCATGTTGTGGCCTAGATAATCTCATCCTGTTGTAACAAAAAAACTTGGAGATAACCTTTGTCCAGTTTGTGGAGGAAATCGGGATGGTCACTTTCTGTGTTGGAGGTGGTTGTGGCCAGAAAGGTGCAAAACTGTCAATTTGTGACGACTTGTGCCCAGTAGTAAGGTTCAATGTAGCACTGTATAACTGGGGTCAGCTGCAATTGGAGTGTTTGGATTGAATGGTATTTTAGTTTTCCAGTAGGTTCGCATGTAGTGGCCAGAAACTTTGGTTCCACTGCAATTGGTTTGGGAGTAAAGTCGGTAATCACCGATGAAAAGCCCTTGACTTGAAGATGGGGTATTTTTCAGCATTGAGCATCACTTGGCAAGTTGGTTATAGCATCGTATCCATTATCTTTTGTCCAATACATTCTTCCCAGCTGTTTTTGCACATCAGGGGTCACTATCTCTCTCGGAGTTGTGAATGCCCAGAATTATGAGAAAACGTCGATTTTTGCACTTGAGCCCAACTGCATTGTGTCTCTGTAACCTGAAATTCTGTATCTTGTATCATACTTGCATTTCCTTTTCATGTCCCTCGACTAAGGACCTCGAGAAAATGTGAACTGAGTGTGCCCTCGCTCATAGCAATGTGTCTGAGTTTGACCTGTGCTACCGTATTTCCTCGATTAATAGACCCGGTCTTTTGTTTTTTGAAGAGGGTTGGACCCCCGGTCTCTTATTTGGGCATGGTTCATTATTTTAGCACGGTCCACTATATTTTCATCGGCACTTCGCTGGAAATGGTGGATTTTTAACAGGTCATAATATAGAAGTTCTATATTTCTATTATTATGACTTGTAAAGAATCCACCATTTCCAGCGACTTGCCGATGAAAATATAGTGGACCGTGCTCAAATAATGAAAGAAAGCACTAGCCACTACAAAAATTGTAGTTGCGCAACCTAAAATCGCGTCCCTTTTTGATCCACTACGTGCTTTCTTAGTGCGCATGCGCAAAGCGATGAACTCAAATAAGAGACCGGGTCTCTTATTCGGGCATGGTCTACTATTTTTCCGTGAGGCCTCTAGGAGGGTCTATTATTCGAGCATGGTCTATTATTCGAGCATGGTCTATTATTCGAGCATGGTCTATTATTCGAGCATGGTCTATTATTCGAGGAAATACGGTATCATGTCTATGCATAGCAATGTATCTAAGTTTGACCTGTACTATCATGTCTATTCATAACAATGGGTCTGAGTTTGACCTGTACTATCATGTCTGTTCATAGCAATGGGTCTAAGTTTGACCTGTACTATCATGTCTATTCATAACAATGGGTCTGAGTTTGACCTGTACTATCATGTCTGTTCATAGCAATGGGTCTGAGTTTGACCTGTACTATCATGTCTATTCATAGCAATGGGTCTGAGTTTGACCTGTACTATCATGTCTGTTCATAGCAATGGGTCTGAGTTTGACCTGTACAGTAGGTATCGGTTATAGCGTGGGTGTTTGAAAAACGACTTTCTATTCTTATTTCAGATATTTCTTACACATGGTTGATAAATATGGTGGTAAAGACACACCTGGCAGTATGGCGGTAAACACACGCCTGCCCACACACGCTCTCTAGGCTGCAAAGTTCTGACACAGAGCTCTCCTTCTCACCACCACGACCATCAGTTCGCGCCTGGCGCCTGGTCGATGCATGGCTGGCGGTATCCGGCATAGCAGGCTGGTACATCAAGTAGCGCAAGGCACATAGATGATGACACAGCAACGACATAGCTCGATTGCGACGATTGTTCAACTTCATTCTCCCGAGTCAAGCTCCGTATGAAGACATCCAAGAAGAAGATTGCCGGATGAGTCCAGCGGGGACGAAACGTACGTCGCAATAAGCTATGTCGTTGCTGTGTCATCATCTATGTGCCATGCGCTACTTGATGTACCAGCCTGCTATGCCGGATACCGCCAGCCATGCATCGACCAGGCGCCAGGCGCGAACTGATGGTGGTGGTGGTGAGAAGGAGAGCTCTGTGCCAGAACTTTGCAGCCTAGAGAGCGTGTGTGGGCAGGCGTGTGTTTACCGCCATATTATCACACATGACTCTCATTCCCAGACCAAACTAGCACTGCGCATGTACAGCATTCACTTGACAGTCACTCTCACACAGACGGAAGCACATCCTCACTCTCTGACAACCCGTACTCTTGCACGCACCACATACCATAAACGTCACACATCACACCATACTCGCGCGTACACTTAGACCATATATGACATCAGACACTGGACTCCACAAGACAAGAACCAAATACAATGACATGCGTAAATCATAGTCGTAATACAAATTCGCAACAATAGTTCAGCAAGTGTTTGGTCATAGAGAGGGAGGGAGAGGTAGAGGGAGGGAGAGGTAGAGAGAGAGAGACTGACTGAGGGAGACTGAGTTACTTCAAGAAGTACATTCTCTCATCATATACATGCAAGCACAGGTACTGAAACTACACAACAGCTGCACAATCATCATCAATACTGGACATGCTTGAAGTAAAAACACGATGAAGACTGTCAAGAAGATAGAACTGAAACGACCATACTACAGTCTCCGAGCGGGACATCCTGTCATCATCCACTACTGGATGGGCATGTGTGCGTGTGGGACTTGCCATCATCCACTGGATGTGCATGTGTGCGTGTGGGACTTGCCATCATCCACTGGATGTGCATGTGTGCGTGTGGGACTTGCCATCATCCACTGGATGTGCATGTGTGCGTGTGGGACTTGCAATCATCCACTGGATGTGCATGTATGCGTGTGGGACTTGCCATCATCCACTGGATGTGCATGTGTGCGTGTGGGACTTGCCATTATCCACTGGATGTGCATGTGTGCGTGTGGGACTTTTACAAATACATGTGTGAAGACTTAACAGAGAGACAAGAAGATCTGCATGGCACAAATACACTCTAGACCACAATGGCGATGGCAAAACATTTTTGCTTGTGATTCCTGACTTTGGGATCAAACGGATTAGAGCAGGGCCATATTTTCTAGGGCTCTACTCGCGGGTCCCAGCAACCCAGACAGCTGGACACAAGTCGTCAAGAATTAGCATGTGTTTTCGCCTTTCGGGCCAATTCCCAACTCCAAGACTGAGAAAGACCAACAAGAATTCCTGGGATAGCTGAGAAAAAGGAAGAGCACAAACAAATAGACTCGCTTTTAGAACCGACTCACTTTGCTATAAACAAATCAACCAGGGGCTGCTGAAAGCTGAAAATAACCTGTCTCCATGGTTTTGGCTTACCGTCCGTGATTATACGGACTTTTTCCAACCAAACTGACTACAGCAGGGCCGAATATTCTGAGCCACTTCTTGCTGGTGCAAGCGGCTTACAAGGAAACCAAAATCAATTATACGGACTTTGCAACCAAACTGACTACAGCAGGGCCGAATATTCTGAGCCACTTCTTGCTGGTGCTAGCGGCGTACAAGCAAACTAAAATCAAATCAATCTGAGCACTCAAATTGCAGTTATCTCCAATTTTGGGGCTTTTTGCCTGTGAATCCGGACCTGGAGCTCAAACCAGTCACATCAGGGCCAAATTTCCTATGGCACCACCTGCGAGGGCCAGGGGCCTACAAGCAAACCAAGAATCAAGTCATTCCCTGCACTCACATAACAGCTGGGCCCAGTTACACAAAGGAAGAATGAAAAGCAGCTGCGTGCAAGTGAACAATTTCTCACCTTTCTGGCCATTCTCGCCGCAAATGCTGACACTGACCAAAATAATGTCCTCCAATAGCTATGGCTATGCAGAAGGTGGTGGACGAAAGAAGAGAGACACATTTCCATAAACAACTCGCATAGGGCTACTGAGAGCTGAAATTAAAGTTTGGGGACTTTTACCCGTGAATTCGGACCTGGAGCTCAAACCAGCTACAGCAGGGCCAAATGTCCTACGGCACCACCTGCGAGTGCCAGCGGCCTACAAGCAAACCAAAAATCAAATCATTCCCTGCGCTCACATAGCAGCTGGGCCCAGTGACACAAAGGAAGAATGAAAATTGCAGCAAAAAAGTCGTTTACAATGAGCAATATCTCACCTTTCTGGCCATTCCCGCCTCAAATGCTGACACTGACCACCATCTTTCTGGAAAAGGTATGCAGAATGTGGTGGGCGAGAAAAAAACAAAAACACATTTCTCTAAACAACTCGCCCAGGGCTGCTCAAAGCTGAAAATAACCTATTTCCCAGTATTGGGCCTTTTTGCCCGTGATTCTTCTCTTTGCGACTAAACTATTCCCAGCAGTTCCAAATTTTCGGTGTCACTGAATGTGTGTGCCAGCGGCCTACAGGCAAACCAAAAATCAAATCAATGTGACCACTCATGTTACAGCTGGGTCATGTTATAGACAGGTACGTTGAAAGTGACATGTGGGCACAAATGTTCAAAATGAGACAATTTCTCACCTGTGTGCCCTTTCGAAGCTCAAGAACTGACCATGACCACCCTGATCTTCTTGTATACCTGGACATAGGGAAATGCACCATGAAAAAATGCCACATTTCAATAAACAACTCGCCCAGGGCTGCTGAAAGCTGAAAATAACCTTTCCAAAATCCAAAATTCATCTCAAAGCGACCACTCACATCACAGCTGAGTCATGTTATAGAGAGGTACGTAGAAAGTGACATGTGGACACAATTGGTCAAAAGGAGACAATTTCTCATCTTTCTGCCCGTTTGAAGCTCAAGAACTGACCATCGCCACCCTGATCTTGTTGTATAGCTGGTCATAGGGAAGTGTACCAAGAAAATATGCTACATTTCAATAAACAACTCACCCAGGGCTGCTGAAAGCCGAAAGAACCTAACTCCCAGTTTTGTTCCATTTTGCCCGTGATTCTTCACTTTGCGAATAAGCTATTCACAGCCGTGCCAAATTTTGGGCATCACTAAACCAGGGTGCCAGCGGCCTACAAGCAAACCAAAAATAAAATCAATGCGACCACTCACATCAAAGCCGGGTCATGTTATAGAGAGGTACGTTGAAAGTGACACGTGGGCACAAATGGGCCAAAAGCGACAATTTCCCACCTTTCTGCCCGAAGCTCGTGAACTGACCATCGCCACCATGATCCTGTTGTATAGCTGGACATAGGGAAGTGCACCAAGAAAAAATGCCACATTTCAATAAACAATAATTCGCCCAGGGCTGCTCAAAGCGGAAATAAAACTATCTCCAAGTTTTGGGCCGTTTTGCCCGTGATTCTTCACTTTGCGACTAAACTATTCCCAGCAGTGCCAAAATTTCGGCGTTACTGAATGCGGGTGCCAGCGGCCTACAAGCAAACCAAAAATCATATCAATGCGACCACTCACATCACAGCTGGGTCATGTTATAGAGAGGTATGTTGAAAGTGACACGTGGGCACAAATGGGCAAAAAGCAACAATTTCTAACCTTTCTGCCCGTTCGAAGCTCAAGAACTGACCATCGCCACCCTCATCTTGTTGTTTAGCTGGACATAGGGAAGTGCACCAAGAAAAATTCCACATTTCAATAAACACTTCGCCCAGC